TAAGTGACCTTTTTTGTCCCTTCTCCAAGCATTAATCTCTTACACCTTATTGGCGACTAAATCCATATATACACTCTAGATCGTTTTATTACGAAAGGAAGAGTTATAAAGGGAGATATTCTGATGCGGGAGACACTTTGTGTCTTAAATTATTCATAGTAACTCCTTACCTGATGCCCATAACATAGAATGTTAGTAACTTGCTCCAGCTCATCCACGGAAAGTAACTGCCCAGATGTGCCTTGACTATGCGTCACCAAGGTGCAGCGGAGTGCACGAGCCGTCCCCTATAAAAAAAGATTTTTTTAGTAGCTCATCAAACAGATTGACTCTGAAAGCAATAGGAAAACCTGTAAAGCTTTCTGGGGAACGATCAGAAATTCAATGTAAGCTGGATGCAACGCGTCTTCAACAACTGTACCACATGGAACATTCTGTTCCATGGCACGAGCTTGCGAATCGATTCTGAAAATAAAGGCCAACAGGAATGGAAGAAGAGTCGACAGTCTTTTGCATCCTTGAAAAAGGCATAGAAAAACTCTGACCTCTTCAAATGGTGAACAAACTAAGTTGGCTTACTTGGTCGGTACGATGCGGTAATTTGAGTTCGTTTGAACGACCAAACATGTGAGCGAAGGAGAATACATGCCATGACTATACAGGTGATTTACATCCACAAATGCTTTTTGCATGTCAATCATTTCTTTGGCCGCCTATAAAAAAACGAGAACAAATTGCGACGTTGAATAGATTTTTAAGCGAAGTATTAGCTTTCAACAGTAAAAAGCAAAAATTACAAAGCCTTACTGACTTTCTTCTCAGATTCTTAGTTTATAGTGCGTTTCTCACTTTTAACAGCGAATGATTCGAAAATGTAGAAAGAAAATACATTATCCAAACACACCTTTTTGAACTCGCCCTCCGAGCAACCACAGCGGAAAACGATGATGTCAGACGGAAGGCTATTTGTTTCTTTATAGAATGTCAAGAGAGCAGCGGCAAAGTTACTGCAAAAGAAGAGATCTCACACATTGTTACATTTCCTATCGATAAGTTCAATCCTACTCTGCGATGTCTGAAATCGTGGCTTCTCGCGGCTCTTGCATCCAATAACTTCCACGAATTTTTGTGACTTCTCCGATAGTGAAAGCCATCTAAAGCATACTTTTCCGAAAAAAAATCGATCGCAAGGCTGTAAACATACTCCAACTACAGTCGGTTCACTCTGAGGTTTTTTCATCTGACGATCAGCAAATGACTGCGGGCCAGCATGACTAATATCAAATCCGACAAACATCCGGGTTTTAGGGAAAAGCTTAGAATCACTGCAAAAGACCACAGCGACAGTTGACAGGCTACAATCTTGACGAGAAAAACTTACAAGTTACGAAGATTCGAATTCGCTGAAAGAAAACTTTCGCAAACCCGAAGATTATGATTAACACCTCCAAGTTTCAAATTCAACTTCAAGCAAAGATTTCCAAGCACCAAAAACGCTCCCTTCAAAGTGCGTTAAGATGAATGGATGATTGGCGAAATGGTGTTCAAAATCGGAGTCACCTTCTGTCCAATTGCCTTCATCAGTGTCTGCTGACTGACGTGTTGTGTGATGACACCGTATTGTGCTTCGAGGCGTTTCATTACATCTAAGAAAACAAGTGAATCAGTGAACAATTTTCTGTATTACCGGTACTTCATAGTTTTGCGAGAAACTATCAATGTTATGCAAAAATTTTAACAGCAAATATAGTACATGCATCAATATGACACACTATTAATTGCCTTTGCTTGCGCTGGTGCCGCTAATGTGTCATTCGTGACAGCTTCGCTTCTTAGAAAGCAATGCAAAAACCTTTATTGAGAAATACACAACAGAAAGGTTTTTGGCCATACACGGGAAATCCAAGAAAAATGCGTCCACTATCCTATAATAAATACCTATTTCATTTCCAAATCTTTTCTAGGTCTCAATGGTGCATTTTAAGAGCTATTTTTAATCTATTTATAAACGGATCTGGTACCAATAGTGCGTAGCAAGGATGAAAATGTAGGAGGCTTCATTGCTAAGCACTTTGGCACTGACATGAAGATAGTTTTAGAAACACTGAAAACTTTTATGTTAGGATTATGCGCGCTGTGCCTAAATATGATTCATTTAAATTCGTAAGTTTAACAACAGCACTCTAACCTCAACGACTTTACACCTTAGTTCTATCGTAATCGTCTAGTTATAAATCGAATTTGTGCGCTAATCAAAGTTTAAGCTACCTTCAAGCCAGCCCTCTATAAATGGATTACAATGCAGAGAATTTCTGGAAATGAGAAAGTAACAGCAGAGATGAAATTTTTCTTGAGATAGACATTTAATAAATGTCGCTTATTAAAGGTAGTCAAAAACCGAAACACGCAGACAATCTACTTGCGAGTAATTTATTCGGGACGGAGTATTGAACTCGACATTCTGCTATCGCCAGCCGACTGAAGAACATACTCCATTCCTATGAAATCGCTGGTATGTAAGTCTATTCGGAAAGAAATCTGTAGTTGTTATTGTTTGCTGGATTTTGAAATAGCACTTAATGAAATTTCCCCCTAATAGAAATGCTGTCAAAAAAAGAGCATGCAGTCTCGATATACTCACTGTGCACCGGATCAAATTTCATTCTGGTTGTAAACATCACAAATTTGGTGTTCTCCTGCCCCATTTGCTTCATCATTGAGTCGATATCGCTCTCCACTTCACTGCTTGCTTCGCAGATATCAACCTGAATCAATTCAGGAAGTATTTGGTAGGAACCTAATTGAAAGAACTTACGTATTTGTGAGAGATGTGAACACCATGCTGTACAGAATATTTTGCTAAAGCATCTATGAAGGTTCTGAAACGTTAACACATGAGATAAGGGTGATCTACCAAAGCCTGTGTGGCGTAAATACTGACTGAGCATCATTTGTTCCCACACAACGATCAAAGATTACGAATGCCCATTTTCCCTCCAATTTCACTGGCTCCACGAATTGCTCCCTTGCTCCCAGTCTCCATTGCAAGTCGCCGTGACTATTCGGCTGCACATTCAGCGAGCCACCATACGCTATTGCCGGAGGGAAAAAACGTTTTGCTACTGCCGTCATAGGACGAGATGAGATTTTAACCTGCAAACGTTCAAACAACATTATCGCCACTGAAGACAGTACGAGAAGCATGATGAAAGTGAATTTCTCTAACTCACTCCCCACTCTTTGATATATGGATTATTACTGTTCA